AACTTTTATCTGAGGGTTTTTTTTTAGTGTGGTCAGAAATATATATATATTCTTTAATAAAATGTGTGTATTTATATATTCTTGATAGAAGCATTGCTTTTAAAAGTTAACAAAAATTACATTTTTATCCTTTGAGCACTGACTCTGATATAAATGGCATTTGAATGATATGAGAAATAAAATCCAGCATTAAGGGGTAAAGAAGATTTGAGAGTTTTGAGACTATGAACATAAAAGTAAAGCTTTCTCACCCTGGTTGGTGTGGCTCAGTGGACTGAGTGTGGGCTAGCCAACCCAAGGGTTGCTGGTTGGGTTCCCAATCTGGGCACACGGTTGGGTTGCCAGCCAAGCCCCCAGTAGGGGGCGTGTGAGGGGCAACCACACATTGATACTTCTCTCCCCCTCCCTTCCCCTCTGTGTAAAAATAAATAAATTTAAAAAAATTGTTAAACCAAAAAGTTTCTACCGTCTCTTGCATCTCTGGGGTTGAGGCCCCAGAATTGAAAGTGATTTAAGTCCAAGGATTGAAATGGGAGTGGTCCACTCTCACTGGCAGTAGCCCCATGAAATTGCCGTTTAAACTGTGTCGGCTGACCCGAGGAATATCAAGAAACAATGTGAAAAAGAAAACAGCTTGGGATTGAGACTCCTTAGTTTTCACCTTATTCGGGAGAGTAAAGAGGAAAGCAGAAATAGGTATGCTCACCTGAGAAGTTCCTTTAGATCTGGGACTTCCCTCGTATGGTTGGCGAGACCCGCCTCGCGAGGGTTCTAATCCTGATGACAGCACAACTGTTGCTCGGTAGCCGGTCAGGTCAACAGAATTTTCACCAGGCATCCGCTTAGGCCATTACTGACCCTGTAGGATGCTGAAATCTAGTCTAGCATATGCATTTACTTATTGCTGTGTAACAACTTACCCCCAAACAAGCATTGGTTTCCTGACACAGTCCCTGAGAGTCAGGAATCTGAGGGTGGCACAGCTTGGTGGTGTCTGGCTCTGTCTTGAGGTTGCAAGCAGACAGCTGTCCTGGGCTGCACTCATTTAGGGCCCTACTGGGGACGCAGAGTCCGCTCCAGACACTTCCCTGTCGTGGGCAGCACTCAGTTTCTCATCACACGGGCCTTGCAGTGAGGCTGCTCGCAAGAGCAAGATGAAAGCCAGTGTCTTTTACACTAACCTTGGCAGTCTCCTATCATCAGTTCTCCATGTGCTGACGATCATACAAACTAACCTCAGTACAATGAGAGACGAAACTCAAGGGTGCAGAGACCAGGGAGCAGAGACTATTGGGGATCATCTTGGGGGCTAGCAACCATGGTGTGGGACCATTTCCCAAGCTCTGTCTCATTGATAATTACTAAATATCTACAGGGTGGCTGGAGCTCTAGTCCTCTAGTTGAAATAAAGGAGTAAGAGACAAACTGGAGAAGACTGAAAATTCCAGGGCCACAGCTGTAGTTTCCTTCACATCAGATGGATACATACTCAGGGACAGTGATAAAATGTATACAACCACAGTTTTACACAATATACTGAACTATTTTATTAGTTACCTTATATAATCTTAAACTTCTGTTTATTAATCCATTCAACTGAGACAGTATCTTATTTTTAAATATTTAAAAACATTTACTGGGATGACATTGGTTAATAAAATTAAACAGGTGAGACAGTACCTTTTAAGTTCCCATTAAATTGATGATAAATTTCTTCCTGTTCCAATTTTATTTCTTCCAAACATGTATGGATATACCATTAATTTATCTACTAAGATGTATAGCATTTACCTTCTGTTGGGTAACCGTAATTAAATACTCATGTAACATGATGATTAACAGAGGTAGCTGGTGAGGGCATCCTCTGGTGTTACTTATCTCTTCCCCCTAATTGAGAGAACTGACTTTGAAGTCCATGTGGGTATTGACGTGTAGGCTTCACATTAGGGGGCTTGGTGACAGGGGAGGTAGAGGAGGGCCTGGGTAGGCACCTGTGCACACACAGACGTGCGAATACACACAGAGATGTACACAGACACACACACATCTACACTGCGAGAAAGAAATCCTACCCTGGGATCCCAACTCTTCACTTTGAGAGCCCTTGCCCTTTGCCATGGGAAAATTTCCATCTCTCTGCTTCACTGTGAGGGAAAAGCTGTAAATTTGTTAGGAAGATTGAATGAGTTACTGTTCCTGAAAGTACTTAGAACAGAGTGAGGGAGTGGGGCTGACTCAGTGCTTAGTAAACATTAGCTATTATTATTATAAAGCCTTCTGCAACTGTTGGTTTTTTAAAATTACAAGTGATAATTACTTCCCATTTGTATATTTGGCAGTCTAATTTATCTAGCAGTTATACAGTCAGAAATACATATTTTCTCAAGTAATTAAAATTCCACTTATTGCAACTGTTGTTTTCAGGGCCCATGACTAGACGTGTGAATCTGGTTGATTCATTCTAACTGTTCTATAATATTTGTTTGCATATATAATACATTTATTTATTTCCCTATTGATGGATATTAGGCCATTTCTGAATTTGTTATTACAGTGTTCCAAGAAATACCCTTATACACATACATACACGTGGGCACATGTAGGGGTGCCAAAGGGGGCATCGAGAGGGGTTAATCACCGAATGTTGGCTACGGCCCATTCAGCCTTACTCAGCATCACTGAGTAGCTATTTAGAATTTATGATAGTCCCTATTTCTCTGTGTTCCTACCAGAACTTGGAACAGAAATGTTTAATTTTGCAAATATGATAGTTTAAAATATTTCATCGCTTAATTTGCATTTCCCTGTAACTAGTGAAATTTGTGCATCTTTTCTTATGTTTATTGGCTATTGGGCGTTCCTTCTTGGTTAACCGTATATTTAATATATACATGTTTACATGCCGTATTATGCTTTTATATTTTTAATTAATTTGTAGGCTGCTTAGATATATTCTGGATATAAAACAAATGTTGACTCGCATTTTAGGCTTGAACAAGTGGATGGACTGTGTGCTATTTAAATGGAGGAAGAGGCATAGTGGAAAACAAGTTTTAGGAGGACCATCAAGAGTTCACTTTAAGGCAAATTGGAGACGCTTTTGCGTAGCCCCGGAGAACAAGTCTGTGCCGCAGAGATACATCCGGGAGGGGTCAGCTTGTAGGTGGCATGGAAGGTGATAGCGATGCATGTGCTTATCTCCTGAGAGGACTTGGGGTGACATGACGAGAGCCCTACAGAATTACAGGTTTGGAGAAGGAGGACCCGGAAAGGGATGCTGAGATGGAGGACAAGTAAAGTAGAGGAAAACTAGAATTGTGTGATATTGTGGAAGCCAAGAGAGAAACCTGCTCCTTATTTTTCCTTCAGTTTTTGTAATGACTGTGTAAGATTTCATTGTCTGCATGTGCCTAACGATTCTTTTATTTAGAATTTGGCTTATTTTGGTGCTTTCCTATTATACACTTTGATGAACATTCTTATAGATTCATCTTTTTTCCCCCACTGATTATTTCCTTTGTATATACTCCTATATGTAGGTCGAAGAGTATACCTATTTAAAAGGTCTCACTATAAGTTGCATGTGACTTCTGGAAAGATTGCCTTCTTTAAAAAAAGATTTTATTTATTTATTTTTAGAGAGAGAGAGAGAGAAAGGGAGAGAAACATCAATGTGTGGTTGCCTCTTGTGTGCCCCTCACTGGGGACCTGGCCCACAACCCAGGCATGTGCCCTGACTTGGTAATGCAATCAGGGATCCTTTGTTTTGAAAGCTTGCACCCAATCCACTGAGCAACACCAGCCAGGGCAAGATTGCCTTCTCTTATGTTCCAACCAGAATGAGTTTGCTTTTTTCCTCCATTCTCATGGTTGTGGGAAAGTGTGAGAACATTTTTAATGGTTGCCAAGTATGCTATTGTATGGTTGTTCATAATGTATTTTGCTAATTACATTGATTTCTTTTTTCTAGTATTACAACTAGTGTTGTAGTTGATAGCTTTTTTTAGCTTACTCTTAACCTGTTCCCTAGAATAATTCCCACAAAGTGGAAATGATAAATCATAAATCATAAGTGTTTGTATTATTAAAGCTGTGGAAACATATAAATAAATCACCCTCCAGAAAGTCTGTGCTCTTCCTATCAGCAGGGCATGAAAAAGGACATCCCTAATCTTTGGTTATTATCTGATGGACTGCAACTTCCAGAATGACTTTATATGAAAACTATGCACGAATAAAATTCTTTAATAATGTTTGCACGTTGCACGTCAGATTTTGAAGCCCCAAATCTGAAACGCTTGTATTCCATTATCTCATCTGTGATCCAAGAATTATTTCCACCAGCATCTCCGGAGGACAAAGAGGGAGGAGTTTTGAAGCTAAGGGCTTCAAAAATTAATCCAGTGTGGCCGTTAGATCACTTGGGAAAGGCTGTCTGTTTCAAGTTTGAAATCATTTCATCTGAAAGGTCTGTTTCAAAACCAACGGAATTTTTATTTTGGCACCTAGTTGGCATTTCCCGTTTTGTGTGTGTGTGTGTGTGTTTTTTTGGGGGGGGACGAATTTACGTTTCGTGTGGCTTAACGGTTGACCAACATAGGTTCAATTTTTGTGGATCTGGGTCCCGTAGATGCTTTTGATTTTTTTTTCAAACAAATGACAAATAGTCACTGTTTTGTCTGTAAAAAGTAAACATTTGGGTTAGCATCTCTGCAGACACCGATTCCTATAGCGGTTTCCGAGTTTTTGCGTGAGATGCGAGCGCTCTGATTCATCTGCGGGTACTCATGTCTCGAGGACACCGAGGTGGGGCGCCCAGGAGTGCAGGCCGGGGCTCACCCTGGCGCGGCTGGGTACCTAGCCCGGTCGCCCGAGGACAGGACCACTAGGACGCCTGCGCCTGGAGGCACTGCTCGCAGGACTGGTCCCTCCTTCCCCCAGGAAGGGGCGGAGCCCACGCCAGGCCCCTCCCCCAAAGCTGTGCGCTGGCTGCCCTGGCGGGTCTTCCGCTCTGAGAGGGCTACTTCCGGATTCGTTGGCGATCGCTGTGGAAGAGGATTCCGGAGCCGCTGGGCTGGTGGGCGTCCCGGGCTGCGGCCCGCGCTGGGCCCGCGATGCTCGGGGGCCGCTCGGAAGAACGGGATCGCGAGGCTGAGGACGACGGAGCGGGGGCTTTGCCGGCGCCGCCTGCAATCGACTTCCCGACGGAGGGCTCGGAGCCCAAGTATGATGGTGAGGGACCCAGAATGCCACGGCGGCCCTCCCCGTGCCCCGTCCACTCGCTTTCCGGGCTCGCTCCCGGACCTGGGCAGCGGCTGGATCCGGGCTTCGGAGGGGCCCCCGCAGGACAGCGCCGCGGGGTGGGGCGGCGAGCGGGCGGTCGGGTAATGGAAACATTTACTGAAACGAGGGTCTGCGACCCGCTCGTTGGTTCATATTTCTGTGCTTGGTTTCCTCTGCGGACTCGGCGTCCTCGGGCCTCTCTAGCTCCCAGGCCCTGGGCGGTTTTGCCGGGCGGTGAGCAGGGGCTTTGTCAACTCCTGGGACGGGACTTGGCGCGGGACAGTTTGGGCTGAGTTTTGATTTGTTGCTTCTGTTGCCGTGTTTCCCCGATAGGGTAGCTAAAAGACTTCTTATAGCGAGGCCGTATGGAAATCCTTCTCTTCGGTTAAAAAAAAAAAAAGTGTCCGAGTTTTCTCGAGACTTTTTGCTTCCTGGGACATAGCCTGCCAAAGTCTTCAACAACTTAAAACAAAAGGGACTTCAAACATTGACTCTACCCAGTCCAAAGTAGCCAATGAAAGTATTTGAACGAAAGGGCAATAAGCTCTTTAATTGCAACCAGTTGTTTTGGCAGTTTTAAAAATTAAGGTATGCCATCAAGAATGAATACATTGATTTAAAAAAAAAAGCACGAATACCTTGATTTAGGGAGGTTTTCACTCCACGGTCGTTCAACTGTGATGACTGTACAGAATGCACATTCAGCTGAAGCATCAAACAGCTGTGAAGACGTTAAAATCGATTTCAAGTTGCAAACCGAGTTGGAAAGGTTTTACTTTCGTCTTTGATTTTCATCCTCAGTACCACCTGTAATTTTTGATGCCAAAGAGAGACAAAAAACAGACTGTTAACCGGACAGTTGTAAGATAACTACTTTTAAGCAGCCAGACTGATTTCTGTAAGGCGCTTTATTAGAGCAGTTCCATAACACAGGGCCACGTCATAGGAAAAGCCCCAGCTGTAAACATGCAGGTTTGCCTTTTCTGCAGGATTGTGATAAGGTTTTCTGCAAATTGAAGATTATTCCTGAAGGGCGTGATCTTAGATTAGCTTCTCTTAAAAATTTTCTCCTCCTAGGTTACCAATGATACTGTTTTGTTTACATATTGCTTCTCTCCCAGAGAGACCCGGAGTGTTGAATGGGAACAGTCAGATCTGTGAAACACGTAGCTCAGTTTGTAATATAGTAGATATCAGACCAGAGTAGTTAAGTGGTTTCTCAAAGGTCTTTTGTGTGATGTGAGAAAGTCGCACTACCAGTTGTTTTAAATGGTAGAGGCAGAAAATTCAAAGCCTAGGTGTGCTCTAAAACCTGTCCTGCAGTTTGTGGCACGGTGGTTCTCCAGAGCCGGCGTCAGCCTCGGATCAAAGTGACTGTTGTTGCTTTTTTCCCCTTGAAGTAGAATGAGGGCCAACAGGAAGCCCATTGTTGGACTCATTGATTTTTCTTCTTTCACTTAACACAAGTTTCCCAGCATTTTTATTTCAGGTTAATCTTCCAGGTTCCTCTTTCATTGATTACTATTATTGTTTTTTAAAGGATTTTATTCATTTATTTTTAGACAGAGGGGAAGGGTTGGAGAGAGAGAGAGAGGGAGAGAAACATCAATGTGTGGTTGCCTCTTGAGTGCCCCCTACTGGGGACTTGGCCTGCAACCCAGGCATGTGCCCTGACTGGGAATCAAACCAGCGACCCTTTGATTCGCAGGCCTGCACTCAGCCCACTGAGCCACACCAGCCAGGGCTAGATATTATTTCTTGTTCTTTTCTAAGGGGATGTGACCTCACCTTTCCCTTTAGCCACTTTCCTCTGGTCTCTTGACCAGAACTGTTAAGGGGGAAGCTTTCAGCTTCAGCCTTTATTTCCTTTCAGTTTTACTCTTTCTTGCATTAGTAGTTTATTCACTGGTGTTTTTAACATTGTCATTTTCTTGCTATATTAGGTTCATTTGGCTCCACTGACCAGCCATTCTCTTTTGTTATTATTATGATGATTAAAAAGTAGAATTTTCTCATTATAGAACATAGAAAAGTATGAGTATAAATAAGCAGAAAACCCTCCTAACCATAATCTCACCACTGTTAAGAATTCAGTATATTATTTAAAAAAAAATTCACATTACAGAATCTGTTGAAAATACAGAAAAGCCTGAAGAAGAAATTTAAAAAGAAAATTTAAAAACCATGACCTCATCACCCAGAGATTAATGTTCAGATTTTGGCGTAGCCAGAGGTGACTTAGATGAATTTTGTGTTTAACACTATTTGTCAGAGAAAGGTTTCATGCCTGAGTTAAAGATTTCTATCTGATTTTGTCCAAATAAGAGAAATTTAAGAGAAATCGTTCACAAAAATTTAAAGGAGTAAGGAGGAAAAAGGGAAGGAAAAGTCACCTGTTCTGGCATCCCAGGGAAGAGCTCACTGCTAACCATTTTGTGTATTCATTTGCTAGTGATTGACAGCTGCTGGATGCCAGGTGCTCAGGAGCAAGCAGGCTGCCTGTGAAACAGCACGTCCGCTGTAATTCATTCCTTTCATAAATTCTGTTCGCAGATCATCGAAAACATCAGGAATTTTGTCTGTCTAGTTCTTTCCATTCTTTTTATGTGTGTAGATTTATAGAGCTATAAAATGCATGTATTTTAACATTGTGATGTTTTTATTTGTTTATTTATTTATACATATTTTATTTATTTACTTTTAGAGAGGGGAAGGGAGGGAGAAACAGGGAGAGGAACGTCAGTGTGTGGTTGCTCTCGCGTGCCCCCTGCTGGGGACCTGGCCTGGAACCCAGGTTTGTGCCCTGATTGGGAATCAAACCAGTGACCCTTTGGTTCGCAGGCCCGTGCCCAGTCTGCTGAGCCACACCAGCCAGGGTGTGATCTGTTTTTTAAATGAGACATTATATTAACATTCTTTGGTCATAAATTAACCTTTAAAATATTATTTTAACATCATCACATTCTGTGCTATCATTTATTTAGTCTTTGCTCTATTGTTGGAAAATAGGTTTGTCTTTTTTTCTTTTACCATTAGAAATAGTAATGGATTTGACATCTGTATACATACATTTTTGTTAATGTCTGATTTTTTTTCATCAGAATAGATCCACAGAGTAGAATCTGTTGAGTAAAAGAAGTACATTATTTTTAAAAAAATGGTTTTGATTCATTTTGCTAAAATGATGACCATAAAGATCGTGTTGGTTTGTATGAAATTATCTGTTTCTCCTCAAATTCATTAGTATTACTGTTTTATAGCCTATTTCTTTTACCTGATAATGCTTTATTTGTGATATAATCTTTCTAGACACCATTGTTTTTAACAGCTGCATAGTATTCTGTTATATGTATATAACATACCTAACAATTGTAAATATTCTAAAGTGTTATGCCGAACATCGTGTGTGTGTGTGTGTGTGTGTGTGTGTGTGTGTGTGTGTGTGGTCTGTCCAGAAAGAAGTATCCAGCTATGTAATATGAAAAAGAGACATTTATTAAAGGAGATATAGGATATGAGAAACACTGTACACAGAACAGTGACACCTCAGTCCCCTTTAAATTAGGCACCTTGGGACCTTACACAGTTCTCCTAACCACCATCATCTATTCCATCAAATCTCATTGACAGTCTGAAATCTCTTCCCTTTCAAAGGTGATTTTAGTTTTGGGAAAAGCCAGAAGTCACATGGCATCAAATCTTGGCTGTAGTGGGGCCGAATCACCTGGGTGATTTGATGTTTCGCCAAAAAACTCTGCACGAGACATGGTGCATGAGTGGGTGTGTTGTGATGAAGCTGCCGATCCCCAGTTGTCCAGAGCTGCGGCCTTCTGAATCATTCCAGTAGTTTCCGGGGAGGAATGTTCAAGCTTACTGCAAAATTTGATACAGATCCATTGCTCTGCTTGTTCAGTTGTTTTGAATGTGACGGCCACACAGTACACGCGCTTACTCAGCAGTGTCTGCCGCCCCCACTGACGAGTACGGTGAAGTCATTGTTCACGCATGTGCATTCCAGTCCACTCTCCTCAGCTGTCCGGTTCCATCCATGTCACACCACCCGTTCTCGTTATATTAACAATGGCTGGACTTTTTCTGGACAGACCTCATACATATCTGATGTGCTTTGTGGAGTTATTTCCTTGCTGTGTTTTTCCAGACATAGAAGCGCTTGGTCAGGGTTTTGCACATTTACGTTTTGGGATGTTTTGCCAAAGGTTGTAAACACATTTACCCCTTTGGGTTTGAAAATGTCTACTTTTTTTTTGGTCTGCTTTTTTATGCCCAGAACAATACCAGGTACCCCGACTTTTAATAGGTGCCACTCTGATAGCAGAGCCTGTACTGACATTATTTTAATATGTATGTCATTAGTTACTAGTTACGTTGAAGCTCTTTGAGTTTTTAATTTTGCTTCATTTTTAGTAGCTTGTAAGGACTCTGAAATTTTATTAACCTTTTCTTCTTCTTGTCCTGTGGAGTGGGTACATGTACTGTGCCTGAATTTGTGATTTATGTTTTAACTTTAAGATGCCTTCACACAGAGGTTTGTACATGGCCACATTTTTCATTCTTTTTTGTTCTGACACTCGCGTATTTACTGAAGGTGAACAGCACACCTGCGTATGTGCAGGCCTGTTTTTGGCCACCTACATATGGGTAAGAGAAGAAATTTGTGACTGAAATCTGGATTTGAAAACTCGGGCTGTCCCAGGGCCTCTGGTAGTTCACAGGGGAGGGTGGAGTAGCGTATTTGAAACGGGAACAAGTTTAGCAGGCGTGGGGCATGGCCCCTGTTTCTGCAGGGCATTTCCTGCTGAGTGGGGTCAACAGCTCTGGAGAGTTTCAAGTGTCTCATCTTTCCTCTAACAAGCCCTCGTGCCCGTTTCCGCTCTGGACCAACACCTCCCTGCTTCCGCTCCTAGCGTTTCAAATCCTGGCCAGTCCGTTTCTTGCCTCCATGTTTCCGTCACTCGGCCTCCGTCAGCAGCTCCCCCTAACTCCGTGTTGGCTGTTGCACGCCCCCTCCCAGGCCACCTGCTCACAGTTCCCAGACAGCTTCCTTCATTGTGTTTTTGGCCTGTTTGATAATGTATTAAATAAGCAGTAAGTGAGAGTTTACTCGTCGGTCTGGTTGGTCTTGCGTAGTGGAAAGAGGACAGGGGACCTGGGGGTCCGTCCGGTCAGCCTGCTTACAAGTTCCTTGCCCTCTCTGCAAGATCAGTGTCCGCGTCTTTGGCATGGGAATGGCAGCGCTTACCTTTGCCTGCCTGTATCGTGAAGGCTGAGTGAGCTGGTGCGTCTGAAACACCTGTGCATAGCGTAGCGTGTGCTCGGAGTAACGCTGTCGCCCTTCTTCCCTTCCCTTCTCCTCTGCCACACTTCTGTCTGTGTGCTTGGGTCTCGGCACTCTTCTCAACAGAAGGAGGCTGTGCTACCCACGCTTGTTTGCTTGAACACTCATTCACTCATTCATTCATTCATTTCTACCTTTGTGCCCATCGTTACTACCAAACCTTTCTCCCTGCCCCCAATGGCATCTTTCTGCTAGTCTTCCAACTTCCAGAATTCAAGTCAAAACTCAACCCCAGAAAGTCTGTCTTGATTTACCCCACTCAACTTAACTACTGTTTTGTTTTTTCTTGCCTTTAATTTATTTTGTAAAGATTTTATTTATTTATTTTTACAGAGAGGGGAAGGGCAGGAGAAAGAGAGGGAGAGAAACAGCAGTGTGTGGTTGCTTGTCACGTGCCCCGTGCTGGGGACCTGGCCGGCAACCCAGACATGTGCCCTGACTGGGAATCAAACTTGTGACTCTTTGGTTCACAGTCTGGTGCTCAGTCCACTGAGCCACCCCATCCAGTGCTCTTGCCTTTAATCTAAATAATGTGTTTCATTAATTAGAATGTACTGTTTTGTCATTCTGAGATATGTTGATTATTTATGACGATTACTTCCTTTTCTGATTTTTAGAATCTGATGTTCCAGCAGAGCTCCAGGTGTTGAAAGGACCCCAGCAGCAGCAGCCGACCTTCCCTTTTGCAGTTGCCAACCAGCTCCTGCTCGTTTCTCTGCTGGAGCACCTGAGCCACGTGCATGAGCCAAACCCGCATCGTTCAAGACAGGTGTTTCAATGTCAGTAAGAGTGCACGCATCTTTTTGTTTTAAAAAGATTCATTTATTTTTAGAGAAATGGAAGGGAGGAAGAGAAGGAGAGAAACATCAGTCTGTGGTTGCCTCTCTTGCGCCCCTTGCTGGGTACCTGGCTTACAACCCAGGCATGTACTCTGACTGGGAATTGAACCTGTGACCCTTTGGTTTGCAGACCAGTGCTCAATCCACTGAGCTACACCAGCCAGGGCAGAATAAATTCATTTTGCTAACTAAAACTTGTAATAGTACTATGTTGTTTAATGCTGTGGGCCTGAGAAGCATTGGGTATCTAAAAATTTGAAATAAGCATTAATAGATTAATTTTCTAAAGTCATTTATTTTATTTTGCTTTGAGTAATTCCTAATGAATATAATTACTGGGGGCCCTAAAGATTAATAATCATACAATTGTGAATATTTAAATAAATAAAAGATAGTCCTTTTGTATCTATAACCTGATATCTCATATAATTGATGAAGATCTCTTATGGTTTAGTCAATGAGCAGGGAAATGAAAAGCATAGACACTCATTCTGAACCTGTTCTTTTTAAATTTAATTAATTAATTAATTAATTTTAATGACAAGAGAAAGTTACTGAGGTGGCAGAGAGGAGCCAGCCGGGCTGCGCAGGCTCAGGGGACGAGTGGCACAGGCAGGAGAAGGGCCCTTCACCTTCAGCCGGTGGGGAGACGGACAAAGGTGACGTGCCCAGGGCACGGGCCCGGCGCTCCTGAGGGGCGGTGCGCTGACCCGGTTCTTGACCGCAGCGCTGGAACGGCAGTGTTTTGCGTTGTTGAGTAGGAAACTATTTTCCTCTACACACAAATGTGTGTTTTTCTTTTCTCCTGCACCAACCAGTTCTCTGACACCAGCTAGGTGTCCTACAGTTCAATTCAAGTTCAAGGCTGTCCGCGTGGAGTTAGTGTCAGACACCATAGGTTAAGGGCTCAGCCCCACAGCCTGCCCTTGTTTCAGATGCCAGTTGCAAGTAGTGGGTCCTCGGGTCCCTCAGGTTACTCATACTTGTGTCCAACCAGGATGTAAATTGGGGTGCCCACTATCCCCCCTGCCCTCAGCTTGGATAAGTTGCTGTAATGGCGGTAGCACTCAGGGAGACACTTACTTACGCTGACAGGTTTGTTATGCACTGAAGGGGATGCGAACGGATAAGGTGAGCAGCCAGTGGAAGAGGCACATGGCGTGAGGTCCGGGAGGGTCCCGAGTGCAGGAGCTTCTGTCCCCGTGGAGTTGGGTGCACGACTCTCCTGGCATGTGTTCGTGTTTACCAAGAAGCTCTGAACCCTTTGTTTTAGGGATCTTTCTGAGGTTCCGTCATGTTGGCACAATCAGTTATGAATTCCCTCTTCAGGGTGTGGGGGCTGGAACTGAACGTTCTAAGCTTCTGATCATGGCTTGGTCTTTGTGGTGACCAGCCCCCACCTCGAAGCTCTCCGGGGGACCCACTGACCTCCTCAGCGTGCAGAAAGACACTCACCACTCTGGGGAGTGCAGGGGTCTTGGTCTTAGGAGCTGTTGTGTCAGAACCTGGTCCAAGACCAAATATCACAAGAAAAGTTGCTGCTCCCAGCACCCCGAACACTCGGGAATTACAGCAGTGTTAGGAGGTGTGTGCCAGGAAGCAGAGACAAAGACCCAATAGGTTATAATTCTACCGCAGTTGTTGAAAATGTTTATTTTAACCCTGCCCTAATTACTTGTATGGGGAACGCAAGCACAGGAGTGAGCAGATTTGTTCAGTGTGTGGACTGTGGCTCAGCTCACTCACCAAGACCAGTGCGGCCTCTTGAATAGCTCCAGACAGGGATTCTAAGGATCTTTCTTACCAAAAAAGTCTTTTCAAGTCTTGTTTGGTGCTGGGAATTCTCAGACTCATAGATACCTTTGAGTGATCTTAGACTGTCATCTGTTTCTACTCCTGCCTTTATTCATACTCATCTCAGTGTCCGTCTGCAAAATGCAGTATGTTTGCATGTCAGAAGACTACTGTGATCCCATTTTTCTTGCCTTGGTGAACGATGGACCTTAGAACTTTCCTGCCCAGCCAGGAAAGGTAAACAAATGACTGTCCAGCGTCAGAGGAGTAGTCACAGGTGTGCTGCTGACCAGGGGTTGTCCACTCGTTCTTCAGTTGTACGGAAACAGCCCCCAAGTGGTGATGCGTGTACAAGCGTGGCTTGTCCTTACAGACGCCGTTACTCCTCCCTGGGCTCTGCGTACTCTCTAAAATCGCCATTTTATTGGTGCCTGATCGTTTTTCCGTGTTCTTTTCCTAGTGCTTTGTCAGACCTTCATCAAAATGGGGCTGCTGTCTTCTTTCACCTGCAGCGACGAGTTCAGCTCGCTGAGACTCCATCACAACAGGGCCATCACTCATCTGATGAGGTCCGCTAGAGAGAGGGTGCGGCAGGTGAGCGCCGGGACGGGCACGCCGTGTGCGGCACAGACGCGCAGCGCTTCGCCTCGAGGGGACGTGCTTTAAAGCGTTGGGGAACCCTGATTGTGAGACGGGTCTATGGGAATGCTGACTTGAACGTGTTTATTTAACAAGTGTCTGTGAGTGACTGCTGTGTGTCGGGCGCTCTGGTACCCGCAGTGAACAAAACAGAACACCTGCCGGCACGGCGCTTCCGCTGTGAAGAGGGGGCGGTCAACCGTGGGAAAGTACAAATAAATGGGGGGCTAGGTGGTGATAGGGGTGAAGGGGAAACCTAAAGCAGGGAGGGGACTTGGCAAATGTGTGACTGTTCCATAGCGGGCAGGGAGGGCCTCGCGGCGACTCAGAGCCAGGAGCTGAGGTCGGAGCAGGAGCCGTGCGGAGCCCGGGAGGGAAAGGACCTCCCCAGGGAGCAGCGTGCAGGCGTGTGGGGAGCCGACAGGCACCTTGTGGCTGGGGGAACGTCGGGGTTGGGGGGCCAGAGGGCAGCGACAGGGACGATGGAGTCGGCTCCCGAGACCCTTGTAGTTGGTTTGCACTCATAAAAACAGGCAGCATTGCAGGGTTTTGAGCACAGGAGTGACATCACCCAACTTAACGTTTTATGGGGTCAACCAGCTCTGTGCTGAGGATAGACCGAGGGGGCCGAGGGCAGAAGCGGGGGTCAGGTGCGATCACACAGGCTGGAAGAGGTGGCGGCGGCGTGGAACGGGTGGTAGCGGTGGCGGTGTGAGATGCGGTCGGTTTCTGTGTGTGTTTTGGAGGTAAAATCAGCAGTACTTGCCGAGGGAGCTCCTTGGTACGCTCTCCGCTTCGTCAGCAGACAGCAAGGACACAGCATTTTCAGTGGTCATCTTCTAGTTAGGGGAGAATAGTTTCAATTGTAAGCTTTTAGGTAACGTTGAAAAGGCCATTTGAGTCCTTTTAATTTTTTTAGTATTGTGTACGCATTTGGGACTGTCAATATGGCATTGAATTTTGATAGATTCCTTATTTCATGAAATTTTCGAAATGCTTTAAAAAAATTTTTTTTTTTATTTTAGGATCCCTGTGATGATAATTCTCATATCCACAAGATCAGGTATGTACTGAATACGTTTATGATTATTTAAAGATTAAACTATCCAAAAGAAGTCAGGATTAAGATTTAATCCTAAATTAATCAGAAATTAGTCTTGGGTTAAAAAATATTATGGTTGATATAGTTTATGAAAATTAAAAACTTGGTTCTCAGCAATTAATTACTGCTCCCAGATTTGCTCTACTTCTCAATTGTCCTTCTTTTTATTTTTATAATTTTATTTATTTTTAGAGAGATGGGAAGAGAGGGAGAGAAACACCGATGTGTGAGACTGGTTGCCTCTCACACGCCCCCAGATGGGGACCAGGCCTGCGCAACCCGGGTGTGTGGCCTGACTGGGAATTAAGCTGGCGACCCTTTGGTTCTTAGGCCGGCACTCAGTCCATTGAGCCACACCAGCTGGGGTGCATTTCCCTTCTTTTCAAGAAAATAATAATTTTTTTTGTTTTTTGCTTTTAAAAAATTTTCCTCCTTTTTGATCCCCTGTTGCCCTCATTCACTGTGGACCCCATGAGCCCCACCCGTAATTCAGAGCAATGATACCCGGTCTCTGTCGGGAAGATCATGGAATTCTGGCCGTATTTTGGAAATCCTAGTTTAAAGCCTGTAACTTGTCTGGATCATTCAGAAATTGAAGTAACTTTATTACTGAGCGCTGCTAATCAACTTCTGCCTTGTTGTCATCGAATACTAATTACTGGTAAAATACTTAAAATTAGATTAGTGATCCTTTGCTATCTTTTTAAAAATGTTTTACTTATTTTTAGGCAGAGGGAGAGAAGGGAGAGAGAGGGAGAGAAACGTCAATGTGTGGTTGTCTCTCGTGCACCCCCTCCTGGGGACCTGGCCCTCAACCCAGGCATGTGTGCTGACTGGGAATCGAACCTGCAACCCTTTGGTTCACAGGCTGGCACTCAGTCCACTGAGCCACACCAGCCAGGCCCTCCTTATTATTGTTATCACCCTGTAGATTTGCTTAGCAAATGTTTTCTTCATAGACAATGAAAAATTTCATTTTAGCCCATCCTTTCCAAACTACCATAATTTAGTGTTAACCGAGGCGGGCAGGTTCGTTAGTAGTCGTACAGTGAACGTGAACTGCCCTGGAACATCCTGACGCCCTCACGCTTCAGTGTTGACTGCTGGCTTGCATTTAACTTCCAGGTCCAGGGAAGTGGCCTTCGAAGCACAGACTTCACGGTACTTGAATGAGTTTGAAGAGCTCGCCATCTTGGGAAAAGGCGGATATGGAAGAGTGTACAAGGTTGTTCGCCACATATTTTTTTTGACCTACTGCCTTAAATAAATGCATTTTGAGAAGTTGTTTTCATTATTTAAAGCACGCAAGGGAAAATCCCTATGGAAATTCCAAAGGAAAAAGTGTATTTACTTTTCATTAAGATTTGTCATTTATGGGGAAGTGGGCAGGGTTTCATTTTTCCCCAGTCATGTTGGTGGTTTCTGTGGGTTCTGCAAACTTGAAGTTTTTGTTCTGTAGTTAATTTTTATTTAAAATATATTGCCAAAGAGAATTGTGCTGCTGTGTTTTGGGCTTCCCAGAGCCCTTTGGCCCGTATTCTCGTCCTCTGGACTCAGAGCTTCCAGGGGCTGGTCTCGCAGTGCCGTCTGGAAGCTCCTGTCCCAGTCGAGCCCCTGACTTCCCCGAGTGCAGTGGAGACAACATGTGTCTTTAGCTGAATTCTCTGTCTCCGGCTAGTTTGGGTTGTCTAAGTTCAGCCTAAATAAGAACTCACGTTATTCAGTTGAAATGTAATGGTACTATATACTTTTTCTTTTCCTCTACTTTTTAGGTCAGGAATAAATTAGATGGACAGTACTATGCAATTAAAAAAATCCTGATTAAGAGTGCAACTAAGACAGATTGCATGAAGGTAAGATTTTCAAAATTTATTTACTTTGAATAGTCGAGTGTTTAAGTTTTTTTTGAAGGAGCTTTGTGTACGTGAGAGAGAGAGAGAGAGAGTGACTCTGTGTGTGTGTGTGTGTGTGTGTGTGTGTATTTGGCAAATACTAGGTGGGGTGGATTGCCAGCTTACTAAGAATGGGTTGCAATAACATAAACATCTAAGCTAAATTTTTATTTGACTTAACTTTATTTTTTTTTAAGATTTTGTTTATTTATTTTTAGAGAGGGAAGGGAAGGAGAAACAGAGAGAGAGAAACATCAATGTGCAGTTGCTGGGGGTCATGGCCTGCAACCCAGGCATGTGACCTGACTGGGAATCAAACCTGCAACACTTTGGTTCCCAGCCCGCGCTCAATCCACTGAGCTACGCCAGCCAGGGCTTGACTTAACTTTTTATAGGCATTTCAGATGGACCACATTTCGAGGGTTGTTGCTGGGGAAACTAATTTTTAACTAAATTATTCATGTACAGTACAGCTTGTTATGAGAAAACGTGAGCTCAGTTCAGGCCCAGTCTTCTCCCCGACGGGCTGTGTGGTCCTGAGCAAGTGACCTTGTCTTCCAGGCCACTCCTGTCTCCTGCCCTTGAAATAGTGGTGGTGACCGTGTGGTTTCATTTGCCTTGTGGACTGGACTGACTTATAGGGGAATGATTGTGAATGAAGCGTGCAGAGTGCACAGTGCTATACGTACATGTGCCTTTACTGGCTGTCACAGAGTTTAGGCTGCTTACACACAGGGCTTCCGCTGCCTGCTCCGGAACAAGTGGCGTTTGATGCCACGAGCATTTACAGACGGCCAGCGCACGTCCCATCTGAGTGTGATCCTCCCCCAGGTGCTGCGGGAAGTGAAGGTGCTGGCGGGCCTGCAGCACCCGAACATTGTGGGCTACCACACTGCTTGGATAGAACATGTTCACGTGGCCCAGAAGCAAGGTGAGCCCTTTCGGGTTAGACAGGGTCGAAGGTCGGCAAAGCTCAGCCCGTGGGCGAGGTCTGGCCTGCCCCTGTTTTTGTGCATCCCGTAAGCTGAGAATTTTTTTCTTTTTTTATGTTTTGAAAAATAATAAAAGGCACCAAACAGAGAATATTTTGTGAGCATTGTATGAGATTCCGCATTTTATCATCAGTCAGTATAGTTCATTAGAACACAGGCTCATTCTTCGGTACTGTCAGCGTCTGCTTTGGCGTTGCAACAGCAGAGCTGGGTAGCTGTGGCAGAGCCTCTGAGGGCTGGGAAGGCCTGGAGTGTTCGGGATCAGGTCCTGCACAGAGTTTGCGGGCCCCTCCTGTAGTGGGACGGCTTTTTCATGGTTCCTCAAGTGCACCAGTAACTTGAATAAGGTTGAGTTGTACTTTGTAAAAGGTCATGACATTTTTTAAAATATTTTATTTATTAATTTCTAGAGAGTGGGGAAGGGAGGGGAAGAGAGTGAGAGAAACATCAGTGTGTGGTTGCCTCCTGTGTACCCCCAACTGGGGACCTGGCCCACAACCCAGGCATGTGACCCAACTGGGAGTTGAACCAGTGACCTCTTGGTTTACAGGCCAGCACTTAATCTACTGAGCCACACCAGCCAGGGCAGGTCATGACATTTTTAGACAGGTGGTTTCACTTGGTGTTATTTGTATATTTTTCTGCCTTTGACTATAAATTAGACAATCGGGCTGTTTGAAGATTTGCTTTTGTTTTTGTTCAGCAGATAGAATTTCTATCCAGTTGCCATCTCTGAAGGTGATCTCTGCGCAGGAGGATGACAGGTGTGTGGACGGGTGTGGTCTTCATACAGGTTAGGTGTCACCTGTCACCTGCACCGGGTTGCCTTTGTGTTTTGCTGTTAGGAGCTCAGGGGTGTTTTAGACTTGTCTTTTTGCTTATGTTCTTTACAAAATGTTAAATTACTTTCTCCCCTTGGATATTTCCTGTCAGTATTTTAAATAAATGTGGCTGCTAGAGAGATTTGATACCTTTTTCCCCCCAGAGGTTTTATAGTAAGACTCATACAGATGTGAAGGAACAGTTGAGTTACTCTTGATCTTTTTTTTACATTCATTATCATCTTTACTGTATTTTTTTCCTCCAGAGATCAATACGATGTTACAAATGATGAAAGTAACAGCTCATCCATCATCTTCACCGAAGGCGACTCAGGAAAAGAAAAATCCTTAGGAGAATGTGGCTCTGAAAATCAGAATAACAAACTGGTGAACTACACCACCAATGTGGTCACAAGGGACCCCAGTGAGTTCGACTCGTCCATTGAGTTCCGAGAAAATGGCTTGGCTCAGCTGTCTTCTGGATCCATTGCTGAGAACCAGCTGCCACTTATGCTTAGCTCAAACGTAGGAGGGAACTTCACCTCCACTGAGGAGTCTTCCGAAGAAAACCTGAACTTGGTGGAACAGGCAGAGGTAGGTTACTTTCCCTGGACCTGCCGGTTCCATGTTTACCGCAGTAACTGTGCAGAGGACTGGGGTTAGATGCGGCCTCCGCGGCACCCAGCAGACTTCCTGCCTGGCGCTCCGCCCTCCCTCCCTCTGCGCCAGCCCGTCCGCCCCGCGTCCGGCCTCTTCTGTCCCTGTCCCCCTGTGTTTGGTCTTCCCTCCCTCACTTGTTTTCTCCTCCTCTTCCGGGTCATTCCCTTCTCTAGATATTCTCACACACGTGTACTTCCGAGTGGGGAGCATCATGCGCACTCTGTTTCTGTTGTACGTTAGCGTCATGCTGTAAACGTGTATTTATGCGGAAAGGTTTCCTGCGCTTTGGAACATGGCTGTAGGAGACAGTCCGGGTAGGACTGCCAGGTCAGCTTCCAGGAGACCGTTGTTGAGGGTCGCACTGGTGTGCTGGTGAGACTCGCACGTGCTCTCCCCAGTGTTGAGTATCAGTGTCAGGAAAACCTGAAGATTAGCAGGGTCTGCATGTCGATGGTCACACTGGATTACAAAACTGCACACGCAGAATTAACTCCTGTCGTCCAGAACTCGTGGCTGTGTGCACGTGGTCTTTCTGAAATGCGAAACTTGGAACAGGTTCCCCTGAATACAGAGGAGCTGGGTTTGGGGGACTCTGAGTCGGAATAGCTTTATGTCTCGGGGATGAGCTTGGAAACTTCTCCTGACGCCCAAATCGGTGGGCAGCCGAGGGCCTCCTTTCCGCGCACCTTCTCCTCGGACGTCATGCACAGTGTGAAGCCAGCCGAAGTGTGCGTGTGCCTCGGGCATGGACAGAGTGGCGGATTCCCGCGCAGCCGCTCTTCGACTCCTGACCTTAGCCGTCGGGACTGTTCAGGTAGTGAGCAGGTCGGTTCCAGTGCCTCCGAGTCTCATCCGAGGACTCTCTGCCTTTGGGCGTCTGCCTAGCTCCAGCCGGCCTGCCCCTGCCCGCTTGGACTGTGACGCACAGTCCTAGGCATTGGTTTCCTTCTCCATCTCCTTCCCTAGGCCTTGGGCCTCTTGGGCAGGCCTGTGCCTGTCACCTCCGCCCTCACCACTTAGGCCAGTGCTTGGCCTAGAGTAGGTGCGTTTTGACCCAAGGAATCAGGTAGCAGTGCGGAGATGGGAGCCAACCTTGTGTCGCCCCCTAGGTGCAGTACCACCTGATGCTGCACATCCAGATGCAGCTGTGCGAGCTCTCGCTGTGGGACTGGATAGTGCAGAGGAACACGCGGGCCCGGGAGTGTGTGGACGAGGCTGCGTGTGAGTACCAGTGGGTCTGCCAGGGCGGGCCTGCGAGTCCGGGCGGGAGGGCCTGCTGCCTTCCTCCTCCAGGTGCTTTAGATAGGGGGAAGTCACTGTCTTTGAGCCAAAGAAATAATTATGCTTATTTCAACATTTTTCAAGGATGCATAAGTATTTGGAAGTTAATTTTATCTGTGATAGATACATAGTTAGTTGATATTTAAGCAGTAATGCACTAGAATTTGAGTATTTGATTTTGGGTGGAAAAGGTCTTTCAAATACAATCTAAAAAAAATTTTTTTAAGGAAAACATTTAAACACTTGTTTCATTTTTTTAACCTGAAAATGTGGCAGTCTTGCAAAAAGAGAAACCCTTATAGGAAGTCATGTGGTCAAACGTTTGTCTCCTTTGAGGTCCAGATTTCGCCCCCGCCCCTGCAGTTGTACGTCCTCTAGAAATGCTGTCAGGCAATATTTTCAAAACATCACAGCAGCGATTCCCAACTTGGGCGGCACTTTGGAATCCCTTGGGGAGCTTCTAGAAAGATGTTGTCAATAGAAAAGAACTTTGCAGTGGAGAAGGCCGGCGTCGGCAGTGGTGGCTCGTGCCGGTGCTCGCGCCCTCGGTAGGCTGCGACGAGAGGGCGCTGTGTCTCCGGTCTTGCTGTCCGGAGCCCACAGTCCCAGTCTAATCACGAGAAAAGCCTCAGGCACATCCCAGCCGGGCACCTTCTACAGAACGCCTGGCCAGCACTTCTCGAACCGCCCGGGCCATCAAATGCAGGAAAGGCGTGGCACGCCGCCACAGACCAGGGCAGCCTCGGGGGACGTGCCAGCTGGATGTAGTGTTAGCGTGGTGTCCTGGCTAGAACCCCGGCACGGACACGGGACGTGGGGTGGAACCTGGAAGCCCGGGCAAACGGTGGACTCGTGTCCATGTTGGTACATTAGTTGTGGCAGATGAACTGTACGGAAAAGCCCGCCCTGCACTTCCACCCAGGTGGGGGGTTGGTCGCTTCAGTGTGAGGGTGTCATAGCAGGGGTTCTTGCAATGGAACCAGTGCTTTTACACACGTGCGTGCACACACACACACACACAGAGGCCCTGAGTTGTATGCCAGGGGGTGTGAAGGAGAGCGAGTAGGTGTGAACTGTTGATCGCACAGTGGGCTCGTTCAGGGTGGAGAAGGGGCACGCAGGGTTCCTGAGCTTGGGCGTCAGCACAGGCTGATGACTCAGAGTGACTAAATACAGAAGGGCTAGTGAGCTCTTTCTCTGTTCCTAAACTCACTTGGCTGGAAAACGTCCGGATTTTTTCTCCATCGATTTTTATCTGCGTTAGTCCTGCAACCCTCTCCGCGCTCGGGACTCGCATCCTCCGCTGTCGTGTCACCGGATGAAGGCACTCCTCTCCTTCCGTCCCGTACGCCCCATGTGTGGGTCGTTTTTGGAAAATGAGTTCCAAATCTTGTACACGATGAAGCTCATCCCTTGGGCTAACAAAATTTATCTTTCTTCTTACTCCATGATGGGTGATAGGGTCTTCAGTCCATGATGGGCCACGATAACAGATTATTAGCATGAAACCCCAGGGTGGCAACGGTTGAAGGGGACTTGAACATGATTTAATCTAGCCGCCAGGTGTCTGGGAATTGTGTACTAAGTAATTGCTACAGGGGCTCCGAGAGACATGGGAGGTCTTTCTGCTGACAGAGTCCATGAAGGTTGGGAGCTTTACTAGCTGAGGAGCCCTCCCTGGTACTTCGTAGGTTTGAACCGTTTTTGGAGTATGGACTTTGTGGAAACTCTGAATGTTGTGTAGGTGTCAAATGTCAATGGAGTTAACATTTAAATGTTAGTGAGTAAAAAAAAATTAGAAATGAAACTTTTCTTTGTTTTAACTTCAGGTCCTTATGTTATGGCCAGTGTCGCAACCAAGATTTTCCAAGAGCTGGTGGAAGGCGTGTTTTACATACACAACATGGGGATTGTGCACAGAGACCTGAAGGTAGGTGGACCGGAGACGTCCCCGAGAGCTTCTGGTCGGGGGGACGCTGTGTCGGTTCGTTGAACTGAATGGGACCGGGTACCCTAGTTCATCTGTTAGGAGGGTGTCGTTATGTTCATGTAGATCGTGGTTTTACAGGTTCAGACTGTGAGAACTGTAGACTGAATTCAAAATCAGTGAACTTAGGGCACTTGCATATTCTCACTGGTTTTCGGGTGGTGAATGCGCTCTGAGTGCATTTGTGATTGACGGCGCCGGCTGTGCTCAATGCCGACAGGGATATTGATCTGTTGTTTCAGACTTGGAGGTGAAAATCTGTTTCTGTGATTGTCTGTCTCAGAGGAAATTTAAAATGGGAAATTTTGTTCAGCCGTTTTCAAAATCTATGATTTCTGACTTTTATCTGCAAAACACTATTAGGAGAGAAGGTATATTTGCTTCTTTGGCTGACAGTCTTCAATTACCTTGCTTCCTGTGGGGGCAAAAGTTAAATCATGGAAAACGCGTTTAAAAGAATATTTAGGAACAGAAAGTTAACATGCGAGTCTTTTTATTGTTTGAAGGGATGCGAGAGTCCGTAGTTTGTCCGTGTGGGGTGGACAGGGCTGCGGGTCAAGTGTCTGTGGGCCCGGGGCTCGCCAGAGGGCGGGGTTGGAGGGACTGGAGCCCGAGGCGTGGGCGCCGCGAGGTCTTACTTCGAGAGGCAGGCCAGGTCGTAGCCCGCGTACACGGCCCTGCACACCTCCCCCGGGAGAAGGCGCTCCACGTGGTGTTTGTGCCTCTCCCCGTAAAGGTTTCTGACGTTTCTTCTGCAGATGTCCTCGAGGGGCAGGGGTTTCCGAGACAGCTCCACTAGGGATTCCCTCAAGGAGCGGAATTCTGGGAGCATGATTCCCGCAGGTAGAAGTCCCTGGTTATTGGTCAGCCTCAGAGGGTAAGAGCGGTAAAGCAGCTTGGCGAGAAGCGCCTTGTCTCTCACGTTGGAGCGGCGCTGGAGGTACACGTGTATGGGGGACTCCCCGTTTCCCGTCAGGATGTTAACGTCGGCTCCGAATTCCAGCAGGAGGCTGATGACGGCCTCGCTGCCTGCAAAGCATGCCTCGTGGACCGCTGTCTGGCCGCTGCGGTCCTGGGCGTTGACTTCGGCCCCGTGCCTCAGCAGAAGACGGATGCAGCTCAGCCCCGCGGCCAGCACGCGGCCCGCTTTGCTGCACGCAGCGCACACCGCCAGCTTCAGGGCCGTGTTCCCCGTGGAAGGGACAGCGCAGTTGACGTTTGCTCCACAGGCGATGAGCGTTTCCGCCATCTCCTCATTCAGTAAACCTGCGGCCATGTGAAGCGGCGTCCTGCTGTACTCATCCGGGACGTTGACCTGGGCACCGTTTCGGGCTAAGATGGCGAGACCTGGATGGGCCCCATACCTTACGGCCAGGTGGAGGGGTGAATACTTGTGTCTGTCGTCCACCCGAGCGTTCACGCGCGCACCGTGCTCACACAGGATGCGGAGACACGTCACGGCGTCCTTCTGGATGTCCACCAGGAGCCTGTGGATCCCGTTCCCCGGCTCCGTCCGCACGGTGGAGGCGACCGGCCAGTGCAGCAGCATCAGGTGGAGGGTGGTGAGGCCTCGGGCGTCCCTGGAATGGGTAGTGAGTGCTGGTTACACTAGAGTCACGTGGGAATGGCTCTACGTGGAGAATTAGTGCCTAAGAAGGCGGCGTTTACTGGAAGTCATCCCCCTTAATTAGCTCAAGGAGGTGTTTGGATTCTGCAGGGCCGTTGAATTTCTCAGGGTGCCACGCCGCAGCACGTTCTCGGTGGGGGGTGGGCGTCAGGGTGGTGCGCGTCAGCGTGCGAACGGGCCGGCTTCCTCGGGCAGGGCAGCTCGTTTTCACGTCGCTGCTCCTGCGGGGTTGCGGCCTCTTCAGTGCCGTGTCCAAGTCGTTTTTGCCCCCCTCTCCCCCTCACCCGGAGCCGAGCGAGTCAGCAGCCATTCAGTGTGATTACAGGGACTTGCGTGCACTCTGGCGTCACCGTAGAAGTGCGCCGCAGAGGGCCACCGCTGCCCTGGGCTCAGTGGCTCTGCCCCTGCCCTGCACCTGACGCACTCCCCGCACGTGTGGGTGACAGGGTGCATCTGGAGCCCCACATCACTCTGCGGTTGGTGAGGCCCGCCCGTCTTCGCTCCCTGCGTCCACCCGGGAGGAATGCGTGTTTTACGACTCAGCCCTCATCCACTCCTGTCCTGGAATCTCTCAGGATTGCCCCCAAAGTCCCTTTGTTTGGCAGAGGAAAGGGGAAGGACTGTGGTGAACATCTGACTGCTCACTGAAGTGAGAAAGTGGCCTTCAGTTCACGTGTGTCTGCTCAGTGTGAGCCCTGGGCGAGGGCTCCGGGGGAACAGCCGGCAGCAGCCCGGGCAGGCCGCGCGGTCCGGTGCGGAGGAAGACTGGAACCGCGTCTGAACAGCTCGGTACACGTGCAGGCGGGCGGAGGTCTCACAGGCTGACCCAGGGGCGGCCCGGCCCGCAGCTGACGAGCAGGAGGGGGCGTGCGAGGAGCCCCAGAGGAGCAGGGGTTAGTGCGTGGTGGCCGTCTGGCCTGGGGAGACAGGCCTGCCGGGTGGGGGCGGGTGGTGCTCGGGGAGAGAACGTGCGAGGATTTGGGGTTTGCCTTTCAGTGTTGTGGAGGAAGAAGCTGTGCTGTTTTCCACCCTGTAACTCTCCCATTCGTCCAGGCGGTATATATTCGGCACCTAGGAAGTGTCAGGCATTGGCTTTAGGTGGTGAAGTGTGTTTGGTGAACAAGAGAAACTTCTCTTTCATGATGCGTACCTTCCGGAGGAGGCGATGAAGAAAGTTGCTGCCTGTTTACATGTTGTTTTTCACGCCTAACAGGCATTTAAACTCCCTGACGGCCGTGAGCAGGACTTAATGTGTCTTCCACAACACCATGCTGGGCACCTAGTCCTCAGGGCGCTTTAAGTGGCCAACTGATTTGTGCCCTTGTGTTTTTTCCTGCCTTTTCAGAGTATCTCATCTAATCAGTAAAGAATCGGCCCATTCAAAACATGGTAATTTCTAGTTCACAGCCCCTGAAGAGTGGATGAGTCCAGACATGACCGGGAAAACCAACATCTAAACCACGTGTATCCTCATTTAGAAATGGTCACCTGTCGCGTTACCTCACTTCCGGGTCAGCGCCGTGCTCCAACAGACAGTGCAGACTCTGTGCCTTGCGGTGCTCCGCCGCCAGATGGATGGGGACGGTGGGCTGCATCTGCTCCAGGGGGGAAAGCCACAGTGCATTATGGGTAGCCTCCTGTTGTGATGGTTAGCAGTGATCGTGGGATCAGCTTCCCATCCCAAAGGAAATAAGTGCTCTAGGTGTCTTGCTTTGCCATTTTCCTGGTATGCACATTGAAATTTTCCTTTTCTTTTTTTTTGAATATATACATTTTAAAGATTTTATATATTTTATATATTTATTTTTGGATAGAGGGGAAGGGAGGGAGACAGGGAGGGAGAGAAACGTCACTGTGTGGTCGCCTCTCACACACCCCACACCGGGAGACCTGGCTGCAACCCAGGCTTGTGCCCCAGCTGGGAACTGAACCAGTGACCCTTTGGTTCACAGGCTGGCACTCAATCCACTGAGCCACACCAGCCAGGGCAGAACATTTTCCTTTTCTTTGCCTGTTTTAAATGACCCAAAGCCAGTGAATTTCATATTATAAAGTTTGTATGTTAAATAAAGGCACATTTACTAAGACAACACACATAACTTAATTAAAGCTTTGAACGTTGACCCTTGTAAAGAGCTCATAGTGTAAAGTTAATGGCAGTTGCCGTTAAGCCACATAGTCCTTAAATTACCCCACAGGGTGACGGACAAGTGTTGTGTGTTTTAAGGTCGTGCCAAAGTCACGGTATCGGTAATAAAAGCTACACTTTCAGGGTTTCAGAGATAACGCAACAAATGTCCTGTGATTGGCAGAGCTGTTTATGCTGGTTCTGAAAAACCAGATGTAAGTGTGGCTTTCCAGCATGGCCTCGGGATAAGAGGGCGGGGTAAAGGAGAGCGTCACGTTTGGGAAAAAATGTGTAAAGGTACTAGTGATTGTGTAAAAGTTTATAAAGTGAAAAACTACATGTAAAAACAGGAAAAGAGGACTCCATCACACAGACATAATCCCCACTGGTGTGTCTGTGAGGATGACCACGTTCCTCCGGCCACACGACTCTGGTCTTCTCACCCATCACCGTGAGAACTGGAAGGTCCAGCCTCGGGCGTGGGAGGGCAGCCCGGAGGCGGACTCGAGTTCCCAGGAACTCGGCGGTGTTCCTTCCGAAGCATCACGAGCCTTTTTTCTAAAAGCGACAGAGCAGCCAAGAGGGTACCTGGGGCCGAGGTGCTCCGGAGCTGGAGGAGCTGGCCAGAATGGTCAAGGGCCGATCGACGGGGTGGCTGTGTAGGAGTGCCCGGATGGCCGAGCAGTCTTCTGTCAGTATGGCTTCGTAGAGCCGGGTGTGGAGCGCCGCTCCGGGCGACCCCTCGTCCAGCAGCCTGGCCCCGTCGGCGGCCAGCTCCCTGCTGCTTTTCTTACCAGCGTTTCCCATGAGAATCGAGAAGCACTTCGGGGCGAGACTTACGAGGTCAGGGAAGACTTGTTACAGAATTGGTCAGCTTCCGTGTCTTTACGATTCCTTCAGTTCTGTTCTAGAACCGTTCTAGAATTGTTGGGAACCCTATCCGTGAACTCAGCTCATTTTCATATCAGAGCCAAACTCTTTCAGACTTTGTTCCTGTATCACATGGTGCCGAGGAGACGCACAGTGACAGGGTGTCCAGCCATTTGGCGTCTCTGGGCCACACTGGAAGGAGAGTTGTCTTGGGCCACACATTAAATATACAAACACTAATGAAAACTGATGAGCAAAAAAAAAAAAGGTTTTTAGCAAATTTACGACTTTGCGTCAGGCCACATCCATAGCCGTCCTGGGCGGTTCCCCTGGTAGTATTTTCCACTTAATGACAACACATCCAAACTATCACCCTACGTGTAAGATTCTTCCTACTTTCTCTTTCCATTCAGCTATAAAAAACTAGCAAAGCAGAAACAGAAATTTATACATTAAAACAAGTTAAAATTCCTACATTTAAAACAAGAAGACACAGCTTTTCCCCTGACTGTGTAGAAGTCCTGCTGCCCCAGGACAGGCGCCGTGCTTCCCGGATACAGGGTCAGCTTCACGGGGGGGACGTTTGGGGCCTGGGGTGGCTGCTGAACTGGAGGTGCTCAGCGTTCACCTGCGTAGCATGGCCTAGTCACACCCAACCCTCGTTAACAGAATCATCCGGGAGCTTTAACTGTTTTCATTAAGAAAACGGACGTCTTTGACTGCTGGTGAGGACAGCAGTTGTTAGAAGCTTCCTGGTGACGCGGGTGTCCGGTTAGGGTTGGGGCTCACCTGTGTGCAGGCAGGCTCCGCATCAGTGGTCCTCAAACTCGGAAGGACAGCCTGGGTCCGCCCCCGGGATTTCGATCTGTCTGGTTTGGGGAATGGCGTGGGGAAGCTTTAAGGTTTCCTTAAAGCTCCCCGGATGCTCGAGCGTGTGGCCGAGTTTGAGAGCCACTGCTCCGAGTTTTCATTTTCGAGGGGCCGCTTGGTCCTGAGTTGAACACCCTTCCACATCCATGTACGTTTGCTGTTTGATTTTGGTGCACCGAGGAGTTGACTTGTTCTTTTGTTTACAGCCCAGGAACATCTTTCTGCACGGCCCCCATCAGCAGGTGAAAATAGGGGACTTCGGCCTGGCCTGCGCAGACATCATACGGAACACGGACTGGGCCGCCGGGAGTGGGGAGAGTGAGTTTGCAGAGGCTGACCCCCTCCCCCCATTAAAAGAAAAGATGTCAGGGTGATTTTGGGGTGGGGGAGAGGGGGTGGGTGGATGTGAGGAAGGTATGGGGGGGTAGATGGTAATGGAAAAAATACAGTCAAATAAGATGTCAGTATGTAAAGATAATTACGAAGATTTAGTAGCAAAGAGGAGTTCAAAAGGAGTACCCGTCATTCCCTGGGGAGCTGCTGTGCTGTACTCAGCGTCGGTGTTTTTTGATGTGTCGACGCTCGGTGTGTAATGTGCGGCTCTTCTGATTGCAGGGGCGCCGGCACACACTTCCAGAGTGGGGACCTGCCTGTACGCGTCCCCCGAGCAGTTGGAAGGGTCCGAGTACGATGCCCAGGTATGTTTCCCGCCCCTCGCCGCCTCCCCGGGCTTGCCTCTGCCGTCGTTGGGGACGAAGAGGGCAGTGCGTGCGGCGGGGGCCCCTGTCGCGGGTGGCAGTTCTGCGGCCCACCTGTCACATCAGACGGCCAGGACAGGAAGGAGGCCTCGCTTTGCAATTGAACCTGACCGAGTTGCTTTTTAAGCTCTTACTATTTCTAAGCCCGTGGGTGTGACGACAAAATGGTTTCGAAAGGAGTTTTTCCCCTTTAGAATTTCACCGTCACCTCAAGAAGCTAGAACTCGTGAAGCCTCTTTTCAGCCTTTCATTCTTCTGTTTTCAGACCTAAACAAACGGAATAATGCTGCCAGGCAGGCTGTCACTCAAGTCCCTTTGAAGTAGGCACCAAAATGTTTTAGATGGCATGGTCCCTGGAAGGAGTGTTAAGTAAAATCCCTTTCTCAACATAAAAGCCTAGTAATTTTCTTCCTTTTGATGAATCATTCAACGTTTTCAGGACTGGGAGAGTTGCCAGAAAGAAACATAGGTGCTTCTAAAATCCTGTCTAGTCTGGATCTTCCTAAAAAAAGCCCGTTTTCAGGAAAAGCATCACAGATTTTATGCAGTTTGTTAAAGTTGACCGAGACTGCTTCCCTGTGAGTGAAGCAGAGGTGACACTGGAGGTGGCCCTGGGACCCGTGCGTCCCCAAGGCTGGCGTGCAGGCGCGTGAGCTCACACCTGCCTCCACTGCGCCAGGCGGGGTGTAGGGGGTCAGGTGTGTGGTAGAGACTGCTGTGGGGGTGGCATCACCCCTTCCCCTCACCAGGCCGTCCATCCTTTGTGCTGGGAGCCCCTTTTTGGAACGACAGGAGTGGGGTTTGTGACAGTGCCTGCCACCTCGCTCTCAGAGCAGTGCGCGTGGCTGGCAGAGAACGTGGTGAGCGGGGAGCCGGTCCGCTGTGTCCCTTCCTCGCAGTGTCCTTTCCCAGACATGCTCCCGCGCTTGGGGGGGTGCACCCTGCCGTGGAACCGCGTGCCTGCCTTGTGCTCTGTCACTGACCCACTCTCCCCGCTTTTCCAGTCCGACATGTACAGCCTGGGCGTGATCCTCCTGGAGCTCTTCCAGCCGTTCGGGACGGAGATGGAGCGGGCGCGGGTCCTGACCGGTGTGAGGGCTGGGCAGCTACCTGAGTCCCTCAGCAAGAGGTGTCCCGTGCAGGCCAAGTACATCCGGCAGCTGACCAGGAGGAACGCGCCCCAGAGGCCGTCGGCGCTGCAGCTGCTGCAGAGCGAACTTTTCCAGGATTCTGGAAGTGTACGTACAGTCTTTTTTCACTGTGTGAAGCTTAGAGCTCGTTTAAGCTGTGAACCCTGCTTTGTGAGGAGGGCAGAGAACACGTGACGCCGCTCTCAGAGGTCCCAGCGGCACCCTGTTCGCCGTCCACGTGTGCGAGACGGCCGCTGCCTGCTCTAAAGGTGCGGCTGCAGCTTCCTTTCTGGCCTCATCTTGCTAACTGGTGTGCGAGCTTTCATCGATGATCATAACAAGCCTCCCAGTGAAAAGGGACACGGAGCAAAGCGTAGAGGGCCCAGGCGTTCTCAGGGCAGGGGGCGGGCGAGCCGGCCTCAGGCCCTCAGCGGGCGCCTGGGACTCTGGGGGCCCGCCCCGGGTGGGCTGTGGCCCCGGGCAGCCCGTTCCCTCCCTCACGGACTGGCAGTGTGAGCCGTTCTGTTTCTCGAGAAACTGAGTTAAAAGCTCCATTCAAAGGAATGTTCACAGATCCTTGGCCTGCTCAGTGTGGTCCTCAGACCAGCAACAGCAGCATTATCTGGGTGCTCCACCCCAGACCCCTGGGTCGGAGTCTGCATTTACCAAGACCCTGAGTGGCTCACTCCCCTGGTGCTGGAGCTGCATTGCACCAGGGCAGCGGTTCTTAAACTGCCGTCTCTGGACCAGCAGCAGTGTCCTTGGAACCTGACAGGCTTCTACGGCCTTCTCCCCTCCCCTGACAAACCGGGGTGGGGTGGGGGAGGGGCAGTCATCTGTGCTTGAACAGACCCTTGAAGTGATTCTTTAGTGGGTGCCACTGGCAGGGATTCTTTAGTTGGTTTGTCTTCTATCTAAGGCTTACTAATTTGTGAGCGAAAGAGTGAATTCTACTAGCTTGAACAAGTAGGTGGAATAGTCCTGATTCTTTGAAGAAGGTAGATGTGGTTGTTAAATGATCTCCTCAGATGGAAGGGCGTTTCTAACTCCCAATTAGGGTAGCTAGTAGAGACCCGTTGTTTGGTGTTTACGGTGACGAATACTCCTGGCTTGTCGGATTTTCTATAAAACCACCTCTACACACGTACACACCTAAGATCCGTACGTACAGGCAGTCCTGGCTTTGCATGTGGAGGAGGAAGCGCTGTTAAAAGGGCCACCCTCAAACCAGGCAGAGGAGTCTTGGTGCTATCAGTGGGGGCGTTGTTACCCCGTGACCTTAAAAATGTTTATCAGCACGTTGAAACTCTTTTGTCAGGTACAGACGTATGTGGAAGTTAAACGGCGCCAGAACTCATGTCTGGTGCAGCGAGACTGAGAACGAAAGTGTCTCGAGAGCAGTGTTCACACTGCCAGCCGTGGCTCCCCCCAGAACTTAGGGCGGGAGTGAGCGCCTCTTCGGTGTCCTGGGCAGCCACGCTCCTTGCTAAGTTTGGACCCAACTTCCGTCTCCTGCGCCGTCGATGTTGTGAAGTGTCTCCCAGCGTTCTTTCCACGTGAGGTTTCTTGCTGGTGTCGCTCGCTGTCTGGGGCAGCTCCACGTTTTCCTCGCCGTGTTGACGGGCCCCTTTCCTGGGGGTCCCGTGGCTGCCCACTAGTCTGGCGGCTGCAGGGCTGGCGTTCCCACGCCTGCTTTTCCTTCGGTGACACCGTTTCGGGCCAGTTCCGTTCTCACCTCCAGCATCCCTACTTCTCATCAGTTTGTTGCACTTCCGTCTTTATGGGTCAGTTCCCTCTTCCAGTTTCCCGTTCTTGAAACACTGTCACTTGGGCCTGTCCCTGGGAGACGGGGAGCGCAGCTGCACACGGGGCCCGTGACCAACCGGCAGACTCCGAGGGAAGTGATGGGACTGGCCCGGACCAGGACGTGCATTGGTGGTTTAGTGTTTCGTGGACTGACCCGCGTCTTACCCTACCGCCGTGGTAACTGCCGCACGGACCACGTCGCTGGGTGACCGGCCCGATTCCACCGAACGCGTGACTGGGACCCATGTGTGCCGGGACCGTGTGGAGTGAGGCACGCCTGTGTATTTAACAGGATGAAACCATTTCAACGGAGCTTAACATTTTCTGTTTCAGGTTAACCTCACCCTGCAGATGAAGATACTAGAGCAAGAAAAAGAAATTGAAGAACTGAAGAAGCAGCTCAGCCTCCTTTCTCAGGACAGAGGGGTTAAGGACGACACGAAAGAGGGTGACGTTCCCGTCTAGCTCAGTCAGGCTCTAGAGATACGCAGGTGGGCTGCCGCTGGATAAGCTCAAGTCAACTGGAATGTACAGCTGTAGTCTTTGTTAGGGCACACATAGACGGTGTACTACCGTACTTAGTTGCAGTCAGTAAGCTGGTCCTTGACTTTCTAAAGTGAGGTTGCTTCTCCCTGACGTAGCTCTTTCCTGATCTAGCTTTTTGAACTTGACTGCCCCAAACTAACCCTATTGTGCTCTTTCCCCTCTTGTCCCACAACCTCCTGTTCCTGGATCGCCTAGATTGCCCAGTCCCGCAGACTAGATGTTTAGACATCCTCCATCCTTTTGAACTCTACTGACCACCAAACCCTCCTCTAGAAGCTGCTACTGCAGAAACTGGTGTTCTGTGTCCACCCCTCACTGCCCAGGTCCAGCCAGCGCTCGAGAGGGACTGGTGGTTCCGACAGGTGACGTCTGTCCTGACCCTGTCTCACAGGGCCAGTTAACTACCAGAGGGCAGCTCTGCTCATGCCCTGGCGCAAAGGCCTCTGCTGCCTCCAAAACAGAACTTCACCTTCCTAGCCATGTATGTTGTCCAGCCTGTTTCTGTTATCACCTCCCCCTTGGCATCACTGCGCCCTTCCCAAGCTCTGTGCTGCCTGCCCCCGAGTGATCTCAGAGCCGCCCCGGTGCCAGGGTTGCTGCCTCCGTCACCCGTCCTGTCCCCACGGCATTTTCTCAGCAGCGACTCCTGCATTCCTCAGAGGTGATATGTGTTGGTTTTATACCCAAAGGGTGCCTGCCATGTCGCTGGCATGGTGTACTACACACAATATCACTCAATTTTAAAATAAAACGAAAACCACAAATTACGTGGTGGTTTTATTGGTACTTGACAACTGGCCTAAATAAAGAGTCTGATTTTGGTACAAGTCCCTTTACCACCACAGGCACGAAACAGCACTGCTCTCAGACTTGAGTCTGAACCCGCTGAAAGTCAGTGCCCGAGTCACTGAAGGAGCTTGAGGGCCGTGCTGAAAGGCGCCAGGTTCTCGCAGGCCCGCAGCCACCTCTGCACGTGGGCTGGCACGGGCACGCTGCAGCCCCCCGTCTGCCGGAGCGCGGACCACAGCGCGACGTCAGCCACCGTGAGCTCGCCCCCCACGAGCCAGGGGCTGTTCCCCAGAGCCGAGTTCATGGAGGAGAGCACGGCGACCTTTTCTTTACTGCTTCCCTCTTTCAGCTGGAAAGCAGCTGCATCGACCCAGCTATCTATGAGCGTCGAGTGGACTGCGTCATGCTTCTGGCCAAACAGGGAGAACAGAAACCGTGCAATGTTCCCTTCCCCTTCGATGGGACACATCCTCTGGACGCTGAACTTCATCTGAGTCTTCGGCACTGAAAGGAAAGCACCCCACGGATGACAACGGTAGCAGCACCCGCAGAAGTACTTGTACCCGGGGAGGGGACTCACTGACCGTGAACTTGTGGATGGGAAAATGGACCTCCAAGATCCCACGTTCAGGTGTAATTGTCATGGAAGTTTAAACTATGTTTAAAGAATGCAAACTATATGCTAAGAAAGTAACCACGTCTGGTACTCGATTGTGAGTTTTCAAGCCAGGAACCTCAGACCATCCACTCGGCCCTGCGGGTTTGCAGGCGGAGGACCGGAGACCGGGAGTCCCCTCTCCCCGGCCAGAGACCCTTTGTATCTCCCTAGCCCCTCCACTCATGAGGGTGGCTACGGATTCCTGGGTGAACAGTACCCCCTCCCTCTGTGAGAACTAGCCCGGGGGGGGGCACTCTTCAGTGTGATGAGTGGAGGGTACTCTGCCACCCTGTTGGCCGCGTGGAGAGAGCACCCCAGGCACCCCTGCTTTGACCGTGCAGGTGGGACCTCCCCAAACCCGCACTCTCCGCCGCAGACCCTGACCCTCCCAGAGGAAGGAGGACATCTTTGGGTCAGGGTTCACCTGTGTGTGCTCCTGTTGCACACTGCGCCCTGGCAGCGTGTGGCTGACGAGTGTGTACAGCGACGAGTGTCACTGTCCCAGCACTTGCTGCCTCGTCAATAAGATCACGGTGCCCACTTCATGACACAGGGTGTGAGCCGCACCCAGTCCCCTCTACTCACCGTTCTTCCAAATCAGAGTAAAACCCAGCTGGTACTCGTGGCGGGGCTGTTTGCTGGTCTGCTCGCCAAAGCACCTGAGGAGGTTTTCCGGCACATTCTTGACTGCCGAGTGGGTGTGAACAGTGGACAGGACCTTGTAGCGGTCGCAGAGCAGCTGGTGCAGCACGAGCAGGGAGAGGGGGGGCGAGGCGGGGTTCGCATTGATGACGATGTCTTTCAGAGCCCCGTAGTCCTGGGGGGAGGGGACCCGAACACAGCAGAGGATGTTAACAGTGGGTTGTGTGTGGACTTGCCCCAGGTGCTATTTTAGGCCCTAACGCCCATGAAGGTGCTACTGTGATCCCGCCTCAGCTGAGGAGGTGCGGCCCAGGGACACCAGTGACTGGCCCAGGGTCACTCAGCTCGGGGAAGAGTGGGGCCGGGCTCTGAGCTGACGCCGTCCCTTAGTCCTTGCACCGCTGGCCCCTGACAGAAGGCTGACCTGACTGTCAGGTTGGTAAAACTACAGATTAGGAATGGCACTTCTGCTTGTCCCCAAGTTTTAAAAAGTCACAGGCAATCACAGTCAGCTTTCCATACCCGCAGGTCCCACACCTGCAGATTCAGCCACCCGGGGGCTGAAAACGACTTTTGATCTGCAGCTGGGACCCCGCCGGTGCAGAGGGCCGACTGCACGCCTTGTTCCACGCCATGTTATGTAATGGACTCGCGTATCCGTGGGTTTCGGGAGCTGAGGGGAAGGCTGGAACCAGTCCCCTGCGGATATGGGGGGGGGGCATATTCCACGTACCAAATCTCCCTAACATCCGACAGCACGCAGTTCCCCCACCAATTTGTGTCTGCGTTACCTGTCAGTGAAGAGTCTCTTGAACTGGCTCAAAATACCACTGGTGACGAGAGGTGGAGGGGACTCTAATGCGCTGGGCGCTCCCTAAAGCACAAAAACCTCCCACCTTCGTAGGCTCGGACTTTATTTCTGTGCACTCGACTATCATTATGCGTGAACTCACAGCCTGGCTCTCTGGACACAGCCCGTGGCAACCTGACCTCCAGGCTTGCTCTCCCGGCCGACGCCCTGCCCGGGAGCTACACGAGTGCTCTGCAGCTCCCAGCACACACCCGTCACTGTCGCCATGCCTTTGGAGGTATCAGAATTCATCGTCAGCAGCATGTGCCCTGAGTCTGGCACAGCTGGGTGTGGTCACTGGCTCATCAACTAGCCTGGCTCCCTGCGGGCCCGGCCGGGTCGCACTGACACCGCTGTGCATGCAAACACGTGCCGGGTGGTAGGAGGACGCGTGTGCGGAGGGACTGGGGTTACCAGACAGAGCCCCAGGACAGGCACTAGAACACCACCTCCACCGTTCAGGTCCTTTAGTAGTACCACTACTGTTGCCAATTCTGGAGGGGGGAATTAGTAGGCCTTCTTGGGACAAGCCCTTTGGTGCCCTGCCACAAATACTACTTTGTAATAATCTTTACTTGTCACAGTATACCCTAAATTAGGTGAAGACTGCTGACTGTTCATTAAAGGTGGCTGATACAGCTTCATTTTAATAAAGCAAAAGGAATTTAAGCAAAACACTTGAAATATGAGACTGTGACTGGCTTTTAGGGATCTACTTCAGTGGGATTGGTGAGACTTCTTTGCGTGGGCAGGCAGGGCCCCGAAATTCAGGCTCCTCTCAGGGTCAGGGCTGACACCTGTCTCTCCGGGGCTCAGGCTGCTGGAGCGTTGCCTGGAATGGGGGCAGCTGCAACCCGACTCCCTTCTCTGCCCTCTGCACCGGGTCTGCAAAGTCCAGACCTTGCTTTGGCCCCACTCATAGCCCATGAAGCTGCTCTCTGCAACGGCACAGTCTCGTGGGGGAGAAAAAAGAGCACGCCCTTTCACCACCTCCGAAGACTAGCCGCCGTGGCCTCATTCCCAGGAGCCCCGTTTCCCCCGCACTAGCCACCACCTACTGTGCCGACGTTCTCGGGCTCGACGCGAACTCACCTTTCCAAGTACTGAATTTAAGTCCAACGTGCTGGTCGGTAAAGCGGCGGGCTCGTCGGCTTGGATTATGTTGGTTACGTCCAGGTCGGCGTCTGGCGTCTGAATCATCTCGGAGAGACCGTCGACTGCGGCTTTCAACTCGTACAGACGTTTTAGAATATGATCTTGGCGGGACTCGAGAGCATGAAGAGAGGGGTCGGATTCTCCCTAAGCAAACCAACACCGAGGGTTCATTTCCTCTGACACCACAGGAATCTGCTTAATGGGGTCACTTGTCTTCTGCTTACTGTGGTTCCACGAGTTATCAAACCTCCCGCCTTTTAAAAAGACAATTAAAACCAAGTAGCATAATCATCTCATTTTTCCACAGTCCAAGGGGTCCTGCAAGTCAATCTGCAAATGCTTTAAAACAAATAAATGTGACTGAAAGCCACTTTGAAATTGTATGATTCTAGTTTTTGGTAAGAATAGAAAATAAATACAAATTTTTATTTGTTATTCTTATCAAAACTTCTTAAACAGAAAAAGGGCAGTGAAAATGTGACTCAATTTATACTAATAGAAGGGAAAACGGAGCACACACATTTAAAAAATGTTTGACTGGAAGTCTGTCCATGAGGTCAAATGATCCTTCCCCAAATCATTCATTCTCAGGGCCGTCCTAGTATTCTCACCTTACAGTCACCTAGAACTTTTTCACTGTTTATATGTATAACTTCATAAACACAGAACACTTACATTCTTCATTCACTGAATCTCTGCATCTTTCTTGCCTGGTATAGTGACTGGTACACAGTAAGCTACCACTGATGTTTATAATTAGTCTTAAGTCAATATAGACTTACCTTATAAAGTAATCTCAAGACACCTCCCAGTATAGTCACATTGTACAACCTATTACCAGATTCATGAACTCTCACAACAGATAATCCATTCTGCACCGAGAAAATACAACAAGCAAAAGGCTCATAACTAGACAGAACAGTCCAGGATATGGCAATGACCTTGAGGTTATTATAAATGGTATAATGTTAGGAATACAGGCTCACGTTTGTGTGCTGTTAAGTTTAATTCTTGGGATCTTCTGTTCCTCCTCTAGTCCTAATACTGCTGTCTCACGCTGATGTAATCCATCACCAAGTGCTGTCATTTCCTGGAATTCATGTGCTTCCCAGCCTGTCTGCCGCCACTGCCACTGCCACTGCCACTGCCCCTGCCCAAGTCCAAGGTTTTTTTTTTCCACCTGGCCTCCCATGGCTGGGTGCCAGCCACCTTATACCCATTTTGGTCCACCCCTCTAATCCATCCCTAGGGTGGCAGCTACACAGATGAAAACAAAGGCAGATCCCGTCACCTCCTCCCCCGTACTAACCTAGGCTAAAACACAAAGCCCTTAACCTGGCTTGAGAAATACCTTCTATGATTTGCCCTCTGGCTGCCTCTCGTAATTCGCCCCTGCTCTGCCTCTAGTCTCACAGTCCTTTGGATTCCTAGAACACACCATACCCCCCAGGGGCCACGGGACTTGGGACTCATTCTGTTCCCTCCAGCTCCAACACTCCTTTCTCTTCTCTCATCTCAGTCCCTCTTCATCCCAAGCAGGGGTGCCCAACCTGCCGCCCAGGATGGCTATGAATGCGGTCTAACGGTGTCATACATTTCCTTAGAACCTTTCTTTTGTTCATTAGTTGTCGTTAGTGTTGGTGCATATAATGTGGGGCCCAGAGACACCAAAAGGTTGGACACTTGTGAGACTGGAT